TGGACGCCAGCCTGGCCCGCGACACGCGCTATGTCGCCTTGCTCAGGTGAGCCCGCTCTGCCCTGGATAAAGGAAGAAGGGTGCGGGGAACGGGGGACACGGCAGAGGTGTCCCCGGTGGTGGTACCCAGCGGGCCGAGGGATGCGCGGCCGCGGGGATGGAGAGGAGCACGGACATCCCGAGGGGGAACGAGCAAAGCGCTGCGAGCGAGCTGGGGGAATGCTCCATCCCGGGAATTAGGGTCGGTGGGAGGCTGCTGGATCCATCTGCTTAGGGATGCACTGATTCCATCCTCCCCGGGGCAGCAGGATGCGATTCCCGCGGGTGAGAGCCGCGCAGGATCGCTCGTGCTCCGGGATGCGCTGGGGGATCCAGGGAGAGGCAGCTCGGGATAAACGTGGGAGAGGAGCTGCTTTGAGAGGAAGAAACTTATGGAATTGGAGCTGTTTGGCCTCGAGAAATGGAGGCTCAAAGGAGACCTTAGCCCTCTCTACAATATCCTAAGAGGAGGTCGTAGCCAGGTGAGGATCAGGAGGAGAGGGAACAGCCTCAAGTTGCACCAGGGGAGGTTTAGATTGGATAGCAAGAAAGATTTCTTCATGGACAGCGTGGTCAGGCATTGGAACAGACTGCCCAGGGAAGTGGTGGGATCACCATCCCTACAAGGGTTCAAAACACATGCGGATGTGGCACTCAGGGCTGTGTCTAGTGCTAGGTTAATGTTTGGATCTGATGATCCTGAAGTCTTTTCCAAGCTTCGTGGTTCTGTGATTCTACAGAGCAGTGGGGTTGTGTGTGGCAGGGCTGGGAGCTGCTGTACCTGCTGCTCCACAAGACAAGCATCATCAGAGCCCTCAGGCAGCTGTGCAGTCTTTTGTTAACATAAGTTCAAATCAATGCTGGGGAGGGTCTGTCACCATCAAAGCTCAACTGAGATCCTCAACGTGAAGTCTGTTTTTTCCCCTGGGTAACACTGAGCAGCTCTGGACTGCTGGTATGGTGTTCCCTGCCTGTTCTTTTGCCTCTGACCTCCTTCCTGCCTTTTCTTCCCTGCTTTTGCTCCTTTTTTTTTTTTTTAATGTTATTCCTTTTGAGCCTATCTTTTTGTTTGGAAGCTACCACAAACTTCCTTTTCCTCCACCTGATCTCATTTTTCATCCCCACAGCATTCCTCCTGATTTCCCACCACTTTCCTCTTTCCTTTCTCACTGAGGTGGGGAGAAAGGTGTCACCAGCTTTACTGAAAGATGTCACCAGCTTTACTGAGAGGTGCTCAGGTTCCCAACCTCCAGCCCCGACCACACACTTTGGGGTTCAGTCTGGGGCCATCCCTGCCACCAAGAGGAGAGGAAAGTACTCAGTGGCCTCTAATCTACCACTTGTTTGTCACCACTGAGCAGATAGTGCTCAGCATCCTCCAAGGCCTTGTGGTTTCCCACAGTGAAGTCTAAGTGTCAGTGCTGCACATCCTCCCTGGGGCATGCACAGCTCACAGAGACAGAGTTAGATTCTTTCATACATCTTTGCTAAAGCTAAGACCTGCCCCAGCATGGACTCTTTGTCCCTCTTGGGTATACAAGTGATTGCTTGGGCTGTGTGGATGGAAATTGGCACTGATGATGTAAAGTCAGTTTTCCATCCACCTTCTCATGGGACTGAGGTGTTAGTGGCTAAACAAAACCAAAAGATCTAGGGGAGAATGATGTTTAGGACAAAAAAATAAAATACCTGTTTTGAAGTATTGCCTTATCTTGCCCCCAGGATTTGACTCCCTGTGAACATGTTCTCTCAGGGATGTCTTCCCCTTGCTGCCTCATCATCAACACTCTCCTGCCTCACTTGGCCAGCAGTGCAGAGGGCTGGAATGCAGTTCCAGAGAGGCATCAGAGGTGCCCTGAGGTTACTGGGTAACCCCAGGTCACCTACTCCAGCACCCTCCAAGTCCTTACCTCCAGACCAAAGCCAAAGTTTGCATAAGTATAGTGATCTTCTGTTTCTCAACATTTCTTCCTCAGCAACCCCAAGCTGCGTGCCCTGGCCATGGCCCTGTCCCCAGGCTTCCTGAGGTTTGGTGGCACTGAGACAGATTTCCTTATCTTTGATCCCAACAAAGACTCAACCTCAGAAGAAAAATTCCTCTGGGAACTTCAGGCACAGCAAGGTAAAATGGGCATGGATGTGTTGGACTCCAAACCATCCCCAAAACTTCCCCATAGGAGGGAAAGATGCTGCAAGGGCACAGCAGCAGCCCTGGGGGATCCTCCACAGTGTGAGCATTGATCTCTGTGGAGAGGAAATCTCTGGACTTTCAGCATGATCCATGGGGAGAGCTGTGCCAGCTGTGGGAATGTGGGAGAGGATGTGGGGGATCTCATACCCACCCTGGCATCTGCTGAGACTCTCCCTGTGCTGTCCTTGCAGTAGTCTTGGGAGCTCCCCCATTGCCTGGGAGGTGGTCAAGGTCAGCTCAAACATTGTGGCTTCATTATGCAAATGAAGTAACGGGCAAAAGGAATAATCTGAGGAGAACATGAAGGTGTTTAAGACTTGTCTGGAGGCACTGGAGGATCTGGTTTAGAGTTTAGTGGTTCCAGCAGTGGTAGGTTAAGGGTTGGACTTCATGATCTTAGAGGTGTCCTCCAGCCTTGATGACTCTATGATTCTATAATATGTCTTGGCCAAAGCCACTGAGCTAGGCTGGGGGTGCAGTCTTGCCCTCCTGTCCCTTTGACAGGGCAAGAGCAAACCCACTGGAACACTGTCAACTGCTCGAGCTTGGTGCTGGTATGTGAGATTTCCCACTGCGTGAAAGTCCATTTTCTCTTTAAACTTGGCAAAAGTGCATAAATCCTTCTGGAGGTGTTTCAGATGGAACATTCCCATCCCTTTCCATGATACACAGCACAGCAGTGCAGTTGTGTATTCCTGTATGACCAGTGATGCTCAGTTTTGACATCGAGTGGTACTTTGCTAAGTCACTCACTCTGCTAAGTGATACTCCTGACTCTGTGACTCTGGCTCGTGCCTTCCTTTGTGGTCATGGCTTGTTCCTGGTTTGCATGCTGAGAAAAAACATGAGCTTTGAGGAAAAAGTGTCTTATGACTCCTGCTGGTGTTGCTGCTGGAGCAGTCAGCACTTTGCCCTGCACAAGAAGTGCAGGAGGCATTGCCTGTATCTGCCCACAGCAAGATGAGCTGTGATCCCTGTGACACCACTGCATGTCAGCACAGCTTGGCAGTGGCACAGGCTGCCCAGGGAGGCTGTGGCTGCCCCAAGCCTGGCAGTGTTCACAGCCAGGTTGGATGAGCCTTGAGCAACCTGCTCTGGTGGGAGGTGTCCCTGCCCAGGGCAGGGGTTGGGGCTGGATCATCTCTGAGGTCTATTCCAACTCCTAAAATTCTATGATTCTTACCTGCTCCCCAGGCATGACAGCCCATGCTTTGTCAGCTGTGCTGGTTTGGGCTGGGATGGAGTTAATTTCTTCTCAGTAGCTGGCACAGAGCTGTGTTTGGATTCAGAAGGGGAATCATGTAGATAACACACTAATGTTTTGGTCTCTGCTTGGTTGTGTTTATCTTAAGGACATTTTCTTTCTTGTGGCTCATGCTCTGCCAGTGAGGAGGTACACAAAAGAAACTGGGAAGGAGTAGAGCTGGGACAGGTGACCTGAACTAGCAAAACACCATAGAATGCCATGCCCAGGATATAAACTGGGGAGGAATTCCCCAGGGGCCAGTCCAGGTTGGAGAACTGAGGCTGCATCTTTCCACGGATATTGAGCAACTGTATTGTGCATCACTGGTTTGGCTGGTTTTGGTTTATCTTTGCCTTTTTATTATGCATTAGTTTTTTGTCTCCTTTTGTTCTCAATTATTAAACTGCTCTTATCTCATCCTATAGATTTTACTTCTGTTTCTCCTCCCCATTGTACCAGGGTGAGGGAAGGAGGGAGAAGGGAGTGTGTGTGTGTGTGGGTCTTGGCTGCTGCCTGGGGTTAAACCACAACATCAGCTCACTGGAATGAGTGTTTCTGGCTGGTGCTCCAGCTCAGATAGTTTATTGGGGTTTGACTGCCACAATAGCAGCTTCAGAAGCACAGCTCAGTCTTCCTCCACCTCCCTATCTCCACCACTTGAAACTGGAAAATATAAACTTTATGCATCTCTTTTCCTATGTGGTTAATGCTGTGAGAATAGGGGGGTGTTTCCCAGAAGAGCACAACTGGCTCTCAACCTGGCACCAAGGAGCTGTGCTGCCTGCTGAGGGATGCAGGCTGGATCCTGGCTGTGAATATAAGGAGTTAATTCCCTTCCTCTGCCCTACAGAGGCTTT